CCCAATTTACATTTCAGATCTTCTCCATTTCTATTCTCCTGTGAGAACGCTTAGATCGTCTTCTCAGAAGTTATTGATTGTCCAAAAATCTTGTTTAAAATCTAAAGTGAACAGAGCTTTCTCAGTTCTTGGTCCTATGCTCTGGAACTCTTTGCCTTTATCCATCAGGTCATCCCCTACGTTATCTTCTTTTAAATCATCTCTTAAAACATATCTTTTTTCTCAGGCTTTTGCTTAACTTGAAAATACTTTTTTGTTTTGTTTCTTTGTTTGGTGACGTCTTGCATTACTTATTGTATTATTTAATGATTTCAAATGTTATATCGTCTTAATGCTTTTGTTAGTTGATTTTTCTGATGTTTTGGTTGTGCAGCACCTTGGTCAGCACTTGTTGCTTTTAAGGTGCTATATAAATAAACTTGACCTTGACCTTGACCTTGCTAAGACTGGCCATTTTAACATCAGCGTCAGGTAATGTTTCTCTGCTCACTTACGTGGCTTTTTATTTAATGATTTCAAATTTTATATTGTCTTAATGCTTTTGTTAGTAGATATTTCTGATGTTTTGGCTGTGCAGCGCCTTGGTCAGCACTCGTTGCTTTTAAGGTGCTATGTAAATAAACTTGACCTTGACCTTGTTTTACAGGACAGTGAAGTCTTCATCAATGATAAGAAGACAGGTGAGATGGAGACGTTCTGGAACCCAACGCCGGAGCTGAGGCAGAACCGTCTGATCCGCTGCAACGTCCCTCCTGAAGAACAGGTCGAGGTTGAGTCCGAGAGGTAACCATGCCCGTCACCTCATTTACACAGTGCAGAAAACCTCAAATGTCATGGGAATTAGGCCATTTTTGATGAATAAATCAAAAGTAGGGCTGTATAATGAATCAGATTGTGAAATGGACTAGTGTCTGTGAATATTAATCCACAAAAATACTATTAAACTGCAAAAATACTACTACTAAAAATAAGAATGCAGTTATTCAAACTTACATTTTTCATCCATGCTTTAATTCTAAAAATGAAAGGAAATAAAATAATTTTTTTAAATTAATTAAATTGTTCATGGTTTTATGCATTGTTTTTATTACATTTGTATTAAATCAAAAATCCAGGAAAAAATAAAACAGACATCACAGAATCTCTGAATACATTTCATAGGGCCCTATTATTCTCAAAGTTTTAAAAAATGATTAAATTATTTTAGCTTTATGAATTCACTTGATTAGACATGATTTTGATTATTAATATTTTATTAAACCATTAAATTGGTTTAATAAAATCCAGAAAAATAAAAATTAAATCAATTAGACATGCTTTTTAAATACTAACTTTTCATATAACCATTAAAAAGAAATCTAGAAATATGATTTTATATTTGTTAAAATTATAATTAAAATGGAATCCAGAAAAATTAAAACAGAAAACAAGAAAGAAATGGAAATCCAGAAACATTAAACAAAATCCTAAAAGATTATTTTAATATTTTTAAATTATTAAATCTTTAATTATTGTTTAAAATTAATAAATGTATTATTATATAATTAAATTAAAAATGGAATCCAGAAAAAAATAAAACTGAAAAAAGGTATCGTGAAAATGTATTTTATGTTTAAAAATAATTTTGAATCAAATCTACTAAAACTAAAACAGATTAAAACAATCTAAAAAAACTGAAACAGAATTTGAAAAAACAAAGGGATTTAATAGGGCTCTGAGTGATCATTAACGCTCAGTAACAAGAGAAATAACCCCTAATTAGGAAAATTAACACATTTTCAGAAGTGTTTCTGTGTCATCTTCAGGCTGTGGCAACATGTGACACGGGCCATCAATAACAAGGACCAGACAGAGGCGACCAATGAGAAGTTCATCCTGGAGGAGGCTCAGAGGAAGGCGGCACGCGAGCGCAAGGCCAAGTGTGAGGAGTGGATGCCCGCTCTGTTCGAGCAGGACCCGGTCACCGGAGAGTGGCATTACCGCTACGCCGAGTAAGTCACGCCTGCCTGCTCGTTTCACAATACTCCTTCTGCAGTGCGTATGCAGTCCGTGTGTGTTATGTATGCTGTGCAGAAGCAGCACGGATTCATTGTGCTTTCACACCGGACGAGTTTGCAGTCCGCTCCTGATCCGCAGCTGTTTGCCACAAACACAACCTTTGTGACCACAAAACCAGTCATAAGGTATATTTGTAGCAACAGCCAACAATACACTATATTGGTCAAAATTAGCGATTTTTCTTTTATGCCAAAAATTATTAGGATATTAAGTAAAGATCATGTTCCATGAAGATATTTTGTAAATTTCCTACCGTAAATATATAAAAACTTCATTTTTGATTAGTAATATGCATTGCTAAGAACTTAATTTGGACAACTTTAAAGGTGATTTACTCAATATTTAAATTTTTTTGCACCCTTAAATTCCAGATTTTCAAATAGTTGTATCTCGGCCAGATATTGTCCTATCCTAACAAACCATACATCAATGGAAAGCTTATTTATATATTATGTATAAATCTCAATTTCACTAAATTCACCCTTATGACTGGTTTTGTGGTCCAAACCTAGCCAAAAAGCCAAATGTGTTGACTGTGAAACATAGTAGGCTTTAATTAATTTTAATAATCCATTAACATGGGTGCAGAAAAAAATATGCACCGCATATGCATTGCAGACAGAGTATGTGTGAAGCAGGGTTAACAGCTGCTGCCCCCTGCTGGACAGGAAGTGCATTGTTTACTGTGAGGACGGTGTGTTTCTCTGTGTCCTAGCACTCGTCCGTGGGATCCGCTGAACGATCTGATTCAGTTCGAGAAAGACGGCTGTATTCAGACCAAAGTGCGCCACAGGACGCCTATGGTACGTTCAGCCAGTGTAGTTAGTCTCAGTACCCAGCAGGGCTCCCGGAGGGACAATTACCTGAGCCAGGTACGTCCTTCTGTCCCCACCCCTCCCTCGTTCTACCCACAATCCCTCTCTCTGCTTCCATCTCATCACCGCCTGCCGCCGCCTGCGCTCTCTGTCCATTCTTCAACCAACCAATCAGCATTCTGCAAAGCAACCAATCATCTGCTGCCTGACCTGGTCACATGACCGCTGTCTCATTTTCAGCTTTTGTTTTTTCTTTGTGCTCTTTGGCATTTGCAAGTGACTTTTGCATGCATGCCTGTGTGATCTTTGTTTGTTTTTTTGGTTGCATCAGGCGTGCGTCTTTGCAACTAGGGTCCAAAATTAACATTGCTTTGTGAATCTTTGTATGTGGAAACGCTGCTTTATTCACAATATTTTTAGTGGTATTCTGAAAGATTTTAATAAATAATAAAAAAGGTTCAAAATTATATTTGCCTTTCAAGTAACAAATGTAAAAAATAAATAAATTATTAGAAATTAATAATAATAAATGTAAATGTAATAAAAACAAAATTAAATTAGCATCTAAACAAAAATGAGTGTAATAAAAAATGAAAATAAATTATTTCTTAGGATATCATATAAAAAGCATATACAAATGTAAATTAAATATGTTAAATAATAAAAATGGAAATTAAATTTGCATTCAAACAAATAATAAATGTAATAATAAAAAGATCAGAAATGTAATTTACATTTAAATAAATGAATGCGATAAAAATAAGTAGAGATTAAATATGCATCTAAATAACAAATTTAAAAATAAATAACAATAATTTGAAATTACATTTACACAATAAATAACAAATAAAAATTATTTGAAATTACATTTGCATTTAAAAAATATTAAATTTAATATTTAAGATTAATTTAAGATTTAAATAAATACATTTAATAACAGAAATAACTAAAAATTTAATTTGCTTTTAAATAAATAATTAATCTAATAATAAAAAAAATTAGAAATCAAATTTGCAACTTAGATGAAAACAAAGCTAGTGACAAAAATATACAAGAGGAAAAACTGCCGTTTATCAATAATCCCATTATTATAGGGATAATAGGCTTTTTTGAACCCAATATACAGCTTCATGGCCAGTATTTCATATGTATGGCTGGTAAAGTTGTTCTTGCCTCATTGCCATTGGCAGATGTGGAAAAAAGTTCATTTTGGACCCTGTTTGAAGCCTTTCAAAAATGCCTGCGAATCACATACACAATTCAGACCGTCTTAACCATAACATAAAGACTGAAACATGTGAATGTCCTGCTCTTGTCGGCGTGTGTGTTTGATTAGGTGACGGGACAAAAGCGGAAACATAAGAGTGACAAACCTAAAAGTCCAGAAAGTGGCTGCTCGTCTCCGGAGCCGGACCGCCAGGACTCTTCAGGCAGCGAGAGTACGTCAAACACACACATAGACATGCTAATAACACTCCAAAAACTCATCATGATCTTTCATTCAGGGCACAAGAGCAAACACAACAGCCGCCTCAGAAAGAAAGGAACAGATCTGAGTGAAATCCAAAGTGCCATCGAGTCGATCAGACAAACCCAGGAAGACATTAACAGGTGAAACGCCTTCTCACCTCATACTTAATAAACGTATTATTATTTTTAGGGATGTAACGATATTATCAATATCGTGATAGTCTCGATATTATCGTGGTCACACGACAATATGAAACGATAGGTCTTCTGGGCAAAAAGTGTAGTTTTTAAAATATATTTACTTCTTATTCTTACATAAAAGGTCTTTAAAGTTGTGTTTTGGGCCATTATGCTTTGGCACAGCATCTGTCAAACTAACTATAACTGAAAGCACAATATGGCTTAATCTCTTCATCAAGTCAAAAGAAAAAGTAAAAAGAGGGTTGAGTCCCCTTTAAAGTTCAGGTAAATCAATTCATTGACTTTTTTCTGACTTTAGTTTTCTAGGTTAAGATCATGGGTTGGAGCTCTTAATTTTGAACTCTCAAAGTGCATTAGAATAATTGAACTTTAAAATGTACAAAATAAAAAAAAAATTCCAAGTCTTCATTTGTCTTTATTTAAATACCGCGATAAATACCGCATCGTGGACTTCATATCGCAATATTATCGTATCGTGAGATTTTGATTTCGTTACATCCCTAATTATTATATTAAAAATGTATCAATAAACACTTGAAAAATTACAATATTAACTTTGGTTTGTCTGGTCACGGGAGTCTAGGAGCGTCAATGCTTTGAGGAGTCGAGTGGCGAGTCAGTCGTCGACGGAAAGCTCATTCCTGACGCATAGAGACGTGGCCATCATCCTCTTCCTCATCTTCCTCCAGGTCCTTCTCAACTTCATCTTTAAGTAACGGTCGAGAATGACCCAGAAACCTCACTCCATCCTTCAGTCAGTATCGCCTCGCGACAGACGGTTTCGTTTTTTATGGATTTGTGTTGCGATCGCTGCGAAAGGACGGCCAATATTGGACTGAAGTGCATTGTGGGATGTTTTAGAAATGACTGTTTACTTTTATTCTTCAAAACGAGGAAATCTCATCAGCCTCTTAACCATTTAGACCATTGTTTTATTTAATTTTATTAATTTTTATCAGCGCCCCCTGCTGTAGCGGAGGACACCTGTCGATATACAAACCAATTATTATAAAATAAGCACATTTCACTCCAGATTCTCATGACTAAAGTGCAAAAAAAATCTGTTATCCAAAAAAATATGATGAAGTTTTATTAGTATTTGTACTTAATAGTATTCAATGCACTGCCTGATTTAAATACAATTTTACCGACCCGTTATAGTAATGAGAATATGGAAATGCTGTCCTAAAACTAAAATATTTTAATTTCTTTAAATTTTTCGGGGACTGAAACACAACCTGGACATTTTTCCCCAAGTTTCACTCGCATATAAAACTTAAAAGGGTTCAATATTTCTGATGTTACTTGTATTTTATGTATTTTTTTTATTAAACGAATGAAGGATGTTTGGAGTTGAGGTCAGATTTTGTATTATTTAAAACTGTTTCCAGGAACAATTTCACTATGAATCTTAATTTGAACAACACAGTATGTGGATCCTGCATTTCATACGTGTTTGAAGGTAATAATGTTTAATTTATTTGAACGATAGTGAAAGCGTGTACAGTATAGCGAGCGTCACATTTAATATTACTCTGAGGAAACCGTAGATCTAGGCGTAGTAAACCTGTAGCAGGAAATACTGTTGCGTACTTTTGTAGTTGCTTGTCTCTCGTCTGCCACTGTTACGTCAGACTAGATGTACGATTAACAAGCCAAATAGTCTGAGAGTAGATTAGAGTGTAAACGTCACATCTGTATATAGTATAGAACCGATTTCCTTTTGTACTTCTAGAGAAACGCCGTCACCTATAGCCCACGTGTCTTTGTTCTGCGAGCATTCGTTTGCTCGCACAGCGTCCAATCAGATGTTTGAATGTGCTCACGTCCACAATAACTATTAAAAACCACGTGCCTTTCCAAGCGGGTCCTGCAGCCGGAGTTTGAGGGATTTTGAGCCCGGCTGTTGAACTCCTACCATGGTTTGTCTTTCTTTCTCACTTCGAGTGAATGTGCCATATTTAGACGTTTGTGGCTCGGTGTTTTAGATTCGTCCCGGAGCTCTTTAGCCATGCGTCTGCCACTGAACCAGGGATCAAACTCCACATGCATCGCGTTCAGCGTTCGTCTTCATGCTTCTAGATTGTTTTCTTTTTCTTTCTTTCTTTTTTTTGCCCCAGGCTCTTTTTAAAGCATTTTTACTCCAGTTGATCTTTGTTGGTTTTGTTTTTGTTTCCTGCAGTCTATGTACAGATGATGCTTTATTTGTAATACAGAAATAACTTCCTGTAAGTTTATTGTCACCTGTGACATATCACCAAATAAATGAAAAAGACCGAACTCCTGCTTCTCCTTTCTTTGCACGTGTCAGTATTGATTTATGTTATTGTGTCAGGGTTATTCTAGTAATGACTTTTTAATTTAGTTTTTATTTTTATCCCTTTAATTTTATTTTTTTATTTTTCACACAACTTTTTTTATTTCAGTTTCAGTGTATTTCTTTTTTATTTTATGTTTTACGTTTTATTGTATTTATATTTTATTTTGTTATTTTTCATTAACTTTATTTAAGGCTTATGAATTAAATTTGTATTTTCAGTTTATTTCTGTTCATTTTTACACTTTTTCTAGAATGAGTATTATTTTATTTAGTTTGTTTTTATGTTACTTTTAATTATTATTATTAATAATAATTTTTATTTCATAGTTGATGTGCTAACTAGTATAATTTAAACGTTTACAAAAATTAAAATTGTGTTAAATATCTTAGCACAGTCTAATACTTGTGTTCAATTGTAACATTTTGAGTTTTATAACAATTTATTAAAAACTCAAATTGTGTACCTTTTAAGTTACAGAGCCATAAAATACTTTAATAATATATTTTCTATTATATTAGGCCATTTATTGAAAACATAAAGTAATGTGTGGTGCTTTTAGGTTTTACAGAGCCATAAAAATATTTTAATATATTTTTTTCTACTATAAAAGACCATTTATTTTTTACCTTTTAAGTTTGAATCATACATTTTAAGTTTATGTTTTATATATTTAAGGTTTTTATGTTTTTATTATAATAGACCACGTATCAAAACAATTTAATTTGTGGCCATTTCAAGTTAGTATGAGAGTCATGAAAATATTTTTAATGTTTATTTTTTCATTTTTTTTGTTTTCGTTTTTTTATTTCATTTTAACTAAAGGCTTTCATTAATGATACCGTTTTGTGTATCTGATATTGACAGATATGTTCACTCTAGAAAATCTGTCCTTTTCGATGCATTTACTCTAATAACCAGCAGAGGGCGCTCATAGACTTCACTTCAATTGAGTTCCTAGCATTACGAAAACATTTACACTGCTTACGTCAAACAACAATATTGGAGTAAATATTTAGTAGTAACAAATCAAATACAACACTAGTCTAATAAATAATAATAATAATTTATAAATATATATCCTGTAAATATAATATATGTAAAAGTATCATTTATACAACATTAAATTCTAGTCCCACGTTTTGGATCCTATAAAAACTTATATGATGTAATTATGCGCTTATGCAAAATCTTCTCTGTTTAAGGCATTATGGTTGATGGTGAAGTCAGATTTAGTTGTTTTTGGGAGGTTTGTAGGTTGGCCTGCTGCAGTTACACAGCACTAGTCTGGTTTTATTCGCACTGGTTGTTGGTGGAGTCTCGGATATTTTGCATTCAATTTTATTTTTATATTTTTCACTTTAATTTTGGTTAAAGTTTTAGTAACTTTGTTGTGTGTTTGACATAAAAAAAAAACGTCTTTTAGTTTTTATTACTAACTTTTTGTTTATTAGTTTTAGGCGTTTTATTGCTTATTTCTGTCGCAGGATAAAAGATCATTTGAAGAGTTCATTTGCAAAACCAGATAACTGTTTTTAAAAATGTTCAAAAATCATGTTTGTTTTTTTTTTATCCTGCATTCCAATTAATATCAATCAAACTGAAGTTGGGTTGTTTTGATTAAATAATAACAACTCAAATAAAATACAGCTAGCTATCACAAAAACATGATAACACAATAAAAACATGATTTATGAAAAATTAATAAAAACGGAGTTATCTGTTATTGCAAATAAACTCTTCATATTTTTCAGGTAACTTTTATTTCGAGATATATCCACCTTATTCTTCCCGTAAGAGCAGGCAACCATTTGTAAATTTTATGGATCTGGCTTCCGGTCTCCATCCGCGTCCAATTCCAGCTATTTTTAGCTTGATATTGCAAATTGCTGGTTCTTACCATATTATTTTAATGTATTATCTTAATTATGAACACACTGGTTTGTAGTGCAAACAGTTTTACCGTTTACTGCACCTTGTTACTCTTCGTTATTTCTCTATAGCAGCTAATGAACCGGAAGTCTCGCCCATAAGCCTGCTTCAGCGTTGAAGAATAAGGTAAATATATATTTAAATATCTTTAACAAGGCACATGATTATGCACTTATGTGTTTCATATTTATTAAGAGGTTTGTTTGAATCATTAAATTGAGCTATATGCTTGACTTAGCAAACACCACAAATAACCTAGGTGATGTTTGATTGAAACATGGTCTGTTTTTGCAATTTTTCATGAATAATCAAAAGGACGATTACTGGGTTAGAAAGTGTATAAGTGTTGCTTTGATAAATGTGCGCAGAGAGAGTGACTCATGTAGTTCATTCTGACGGTATTGTTCATGTGAGGACTGTTGAAGTGCGTGAAGTGGGTCCTGATTTCGAGCTGAATACTGAATGATGCTGTTGTTTGCTGAACGTGTGAAAGTCAGGCAGGTGATTGTCTAAATCACTTTAGACTGCCACTTTGGGTAGACATTTGAAATTTGAAGGGTATTTAGCCTTGCCAGGTGGTTGCTAGGGTTCTCTAAATGGTTGCTAGGGTGTTGTTAGGTGGTCTAGAAAGAGCTGGGTAACTGATTACATGTAATCTGGATTACATAATCAGATTCCACAAATCAAGTACTTGTAATTAGAGTATATTAAATACTCGTAATCAGAATTACTTTCTTAGGGATTATATATTATTTACAGAATAACAATTTTTTGATTCTCCCTAATTCCTCTTTTTCATGTTTAAAATTTTCCTTTCCAAAATAGCCTGCCGCTTACATGGACTCAGAAAGTCTTCCAGTTCTGTGGATATTCACAGAGATCAGTCACTAGTCAGGTGGCTACACAGCATTTGAGGTTTAAAGGTCACATATTTGACACCTTTCTGGAGTTTTATTTTAGGTTTTGATGTCCTTAATAATATATAGTTGTGGTATAAGTACCAAAAACCATCTCAATATATTTACAGCTCCTCTCTCTGGAGCTCTGCTGAGAACAGGTGGATTTTGGCCTGTCTAATTAATATTCATGAGCCTCTCTTCTGATTGGCCTGTTGTTTTCTGAGTGACGCACGGCCAGGCCAACCACTTGAAACTTATATGGTAGTTACATAGCCCCTAGACCTGTTATTGTGAAAAAAAGCCAGGAAATTTCAGTTTTGACAATATGGGACCTTTAACCTCCATCAATACTGATGAACACATTCATTTTTATTTGAATTATCACTCAGTCGGTTATTTTACCATGTATTACTTTGGAAGGCGTTAGTCTTTAAAACACATTAAAATGCACAAATTGACCAACTTTTTTTGTCATCTGATCCTCTATCATCTAATACATTTTTATTTGCTGAGATTTTAAAATAAATATTTGAATAATGAAGTATGACATTTGAATGTTCACAGTTCTCTGACGTTGAATACGGTCACATGGCATGCAGGTAAACAAATAAAATATTTCATTTTTTCAGTAAGTGTTTTATTTCGATTATTTTAAAATTAATTGTTTTAATTGAAAAAGTGTATGATTTCATTAATTATTAGCTTTTCATTAAACTCATAAACCCCGTGCAGTTCCTTCACAAACCCAGTTTGGGAAACCTTGACATAATATATATTTAATGCACTTCAAGTTGTTGCTAACAACAAATAGAATATATTTTCTTACTCTTTATATCAATATGGTACAACATTATGAAACTTTAAATCAATGTGATAAACAAGTTAGGTCAAAACTAATCTAAAAGTAGTCTGACTATATTACCTAAAATGTGTAATGTTAGGAACTACAATTTTTGTCATGTAATTTGGAATCAGTAACAGATTACAATTTGGCTTTGGGTCTCGATCACTTCGATACAGTGCAGTCAGAACAGGCAGGTCTGTGCCGAGTTTGTGCAAAATCAGTGTGTTTTTCTTTATCAGGCTGACAGAAATGTGAAATAAGAGCGCTGAATGTGGATTCCTCAGAGCTGAAAGTTCATCTGCACTCAATTATTAATAGCAAGGCGAGAGACGATTCTGTTGATCTCTCATCTCTGGATCTAATGCTATAGTCGAATAAGTGGGTTTCCTTCAGGTCCGGTGTTTTCTAGCGTTGCTAAGAAACCGTCTCCGCCAATATCTCAAGATGTTGGGGCTTTTGTCTGATCCTGCAGGACATACAGAGACACGAAACAGAGGAGAAACAGCCAAGCGCGCTGAGGAGAGCGACGTTATTACGTAATCACGTCATCACTCATGCAGCTCCGTCATGTGCTTTACATAACAGCAAAATACACCACCAGTAATTTGAGTTATTTTTACACGAGTTTATTTGGAACACAAAAAGGCTCAGCCTGATCATCTCATTTGGGTTTCAAATAGACACTTTATGCATATAAAAGCATCTCATTGCTCTGATATCAGTCTACTTTCGAATATTTGATACACTGATCTTTCTGATCAAACTTTTGCTGAAAAACCGTGATCTACTACATGCCTTCTGCCATCTGATTGATCATTTAGAGTTTTTTGTTTTTTATCAAGTAAAAGGTCTTTTAGTATCATTTTTCAAACGTCCTTCAGCTGGTGCGTCACGTGTTTTTTTGCTGTCAAAGCTGATTTTTATAAAGTAAATGTAAGAATAACTAGTAATATTTCAATTTAAACACTTACTGGCCTGAAGCAGCTCGGCTTTACTTGATTGAATCATTTTGTAGAAAAATCAGTGCGTCTCAAATCTGATCATCAGGATCTTTTGAGGAACATTTGTTTCCAGAAGCTTTACTTTCACTGTTCCTCAGTGGAGGAATGATCTTCCCAAGCCTCCAGAACATCAAGAACATTTATTTCTTCATCTCTCAATCAGCACTGGATTGCATTGCATTATATGTTTGGATCATTTCAATCTCATCTCACTTAGACATATTATTGCAGATACAGAGTGACCACTGATATTCATATCATTTTATGTAAGTATCTGCTATTCTGT